CTGGGTCAGACCGATGATCGGTCCCAGGATCGGCAGATACTTGTCCACGAGAGCTTGCAGCTGCTCCAGGATCTTGTCAATGGGGTTCGGATCAGCTGCAGAATATGGTAGCTTGGGTAAATACAACTCGTGTAGAGAATTTGCTCATGTTTACAATGTACCATAATCCTGCCATGAAAGTGTGATTGTTGCCCCAGCACAAATGCTGTTGTCATAGGTTTTTCTAAACAGTTGGTGGGGAAACCCATCTTCCTTAGGGTATCGGACAAAACGGAGCTCCAATTGCTGCACGGGAGGTGTTTTTGAAAAGCAAATGTTCCACCAATTTCCTGTTCCATGTGGCTTTCCTGACTGTTGCTTCCTGTTGGTGGCAAATAATATTAATGCCACTTGTCACCTTGTTTAGAATCAAAGTAATGCTAATCGTCAAGTGTTTGCATGATACACAAAACTCTTCGATAGATCTTTAGCTTTCAATTTGAAGCATGCGTACTGAGTTTTCGCATTGACATATAATTATGGGCCGCATTGTGTGAGCAGCTTATGATTGCGTTGCAAAACAAAGACAATTCATAGACAATCGAGTATCAATAGCCTTATTTCTCGTAGAATAAACAGGAGACGGGAAATATGAATGTGTTATCCGTTTAACCGCCTTTACCGGAAGTTTTTTTTTACTGGTTTCATGGAGCCACGTCGCCGAATTATCACATCTATCTCTCCATTCTCCTGTTAAGTATTCGCGAATAAGGCTTTTGATACTGTCTCATCTGTATGCATAATGTGCCTCGCAAATGTACTCAACAAATTACGTAAAGATAATTTACACATTTAGTTAAATAGTTCAACTTAAAGGGAACTCCTAAGATTTTGCTGTCATTTCTAATCGAATTAACAGCCCGAGTGACCTATCATCTGAACACATCATTTGCTACCGCTCAATGCGCGTCACCAGCCCGACTACAATCATGATAACGTTCAAGTAATGCTGGCTGATGGGCAAAAGGAGCAGCTTCCTCACTTGTAGATGCAATACATCTTGATGGCAGTACTTATCACGTGTGTTTATCTAGTGTTCGTGTGTACTAATGGTCTGCTATTTACATACTGGTGGCGGTGTACTCACCCCTGGAAAGAATAGGAGCTCCGCAGTCCTTCAGAATGTTGAGCACGTCCGTCAGGATCTTCTCTAGCGCGGTGTCGATGTCGGTGTGTCCGTGCTCGGCCGACTCGATGTCCTTGATGAGCATTGTCAATGTCAGCCTCAGCAGCCTTAATCTGGTCATCAGTCAGACCCAACACCGGCCCCAGAGACTCGAGCAGCTTGTCCAGAAGACCCTCCAGCTTTGTCAACAGACCGTCCAGACCGGTCGGTGTGTCGTCAGCTGTGGACAGAGAGGTGCGGATGTCATCATTGTATCATGCATTGGAGAAGCGATTTGTTTGAAATGATAATATGTGTTCAAAATGTTATAAGCTGAGTCGTGAACTCGCCAAAGTGTGTTTGGAAAACAGACGGTTCACTTTGAATCATGAGTTTCCAATCTAGCTATGCCGCAATGTAGTCGTCAAGCCCGATGGGCGAATATCCATATTCGTAGCAGCTGTGCCCAAGCGCATTTAATACTCACTGGGGTTGGTGTGGTCTATGCCCAGGGCCTTCAGGATCTCGATCATGTCGGTAACCATGCTCTCGATTCCAGTGGAGATGTCAACGGTGCCGTGCTCCAGAGCCTCGACGTCGGCTACAAACTTGTCAAAGTTGGAGACGACCGCATCGACCTGTTCCTGGGTCAGACCGATGATCGGTCCGAGGATCGGTAGATACTTGTCCACGAGAGCTTGCAGCTGCTCCAGAATCTTGTCAATAGGGCTCGGATCAGCTGCAAAGTGTGATATTGGGTGTGCGTTTACTGTGTTGGAAGTGTTGTCTTTGTCCTTCGACAAACCGCCAACATTATGGGCTCCCTTAAATCCTGCCACCAGCTTTCCTCTGTTGCGTAACGTGGTGTATGAACTGTACACGATGTTCCTCCATCACACTCGTAGCATTGCAAGCGATGTACTTTCCCGGACAAAACGCTCACGATCCTGCAATATCGTAAAGCACACTAGCACAAAAGCCTATCTGTCATGATTCCTGCAGTTCAAGATTTGGAGACCCATGAGGCCAGTCGTGGCATGTAAATGTCAAGTGTAATGACGTCTGTTCTTGCGTATCTGGGTATCAAGCGATAGTGCCTATTCATGATTAGAATGTGGTGACCATACTGGTGACAGTCTACTCACCTGTGGAAAGAATAGGAGCTCCGCAGTCCTTCAGAATATTCAGCACGTCCGTCAGGATCTTCTCTAGCGCGGTGTCGATGTCGGTGTGTCCGTGTTCGGCCGACTCGATGTCCTTGATGAGCGTGTCAATGTCAGCCTCAGCAGCCTTAATCTGGTCATCAGTCAGACCCAACACCGGCCCCAGAGACTCGAGCAGCTTGTCCAGAAGACCCTCCAGCTTTGTCAACAGACCGTCCAGACCGGTCGGTGTGTCGTCAGCTGTGGACAGAGAGGTGCGGATGTCATCATTGTATCATGCATTGGAGAAACGATTTGTTTGAAATGATAATATGTGTTCAAAATGCTATAAGCTGAGTCGTGAACTCGCAAAGTGTGTTTGGAAAACAGACGGTTCACTTTGAATCATGAGTTTCCAATCTAGCTATGCCGCAATGTAGTCGTCAAGCCCGATGGGCGAATATCCATATTCGTAGCAGCTGTGCCCAAGCGCATTTAATACTCACTGGGGTTGGTGTGGTCTATGCCCAGGGCCCTCAGGATCTCGATGATGTCGGTAACCATGCTCTCGATTCCAGTGGAGATGTCAACGGTGCCGTGCTCCAGAGCCTCGACGTCGGCTACAAACTTGTCAAAGTTGGAGACGACCGCATCGACCTGTTCCTGGGTCAGACCGATGATCGGTCCGAGGATCGGTAGATACTTGTCCACGAGAGCTTGCAGCTGCTCCAGAATCTTGTCAATAGGGCTCGGATCAGCTGCAAAGTGTGATATTGGGTGTGCGTTTACTGTGTTGGAAGTGTTGTCTTTGTCCTTCGACAAACCCGCCAACATTATGGGCTCCCTTAAATCCTGCCACCAGCTTTCCTCTGTTGCGCAACGTGGGTGTATGGACTGTACACGATGTTCCTCCATCAGCACTCGTAGCATTGCAAGCAATGTACTTTCCCGGACAAAACGCTCGCGATCCTGCAATATCGTAAAGCACACTGTAGCACAAAAGCCTATCTGTCATGATTCCTGCAGTTCAAGATTTGGAGACCCATGAGGCCAGTCGTGGCATGTAAATGTCAAGTGTATGACGTCTGTTCTTGCGTATCTGGGTATCAAGTGATAGTGCCTATTCATGATTAGAATGTGGTGACCATACTGGTGACAGTCTTACTCACCTGTGGAAAGAATAGGAGCTCCGCAGTCCTTCAGAATATTCAGCACGTCCGTCAGGATCTTCTCTAGCGCGGTGTCGATGTCGGTGTGTCCGTGTTCGGCCGACTCGATGTCCTTGATGAGCGTGGCAATGTCAGCCTCAGCAGCCTTAATCTGGTCATCAGTCAGACCCAACACCGGCCCCAGAGACTCGAGCAGCTTGTCCAGAAGACCCTCCAGCTTTGTCAACAGACCGTCCAGACCGGTCGGTGTGTCGTCAGCTGTGGACAGAGAGGTGCGGATGTCATCATTGTATCATGCATTGGAGAAGCGATTTGCTTGTGAAATGATAATATGTGTTCAAAATGTTATAAGCTGAGTCGTGAACTCGCAAAGTGTGTTTGGAAAACAGACGGTTCACTTTGAATCATGAGTTTCCAATCTAGCTATGCCGCAATGTAGTCGTCAAGCCCGATGGGCGAATATTCCATATTCGTAGCAGCTGTGCCCAAGCGCATTTAATACTCACTGGGGTTGGTGTGGTCTATGCCCAGGGCCCTTCAGGATCTCGATCATGTCGGTAACCATGCTCTCGATTCCAGTGGAGATGTCAACGGTGCCGTGCTCCAGAGCCTCGACGTCGGCTACAAACTTGTCAAAGTTGGAGACGACCGCATCGACCTGTTCCTGGGTCAGACCGATGATCGGTCCGAGGATCGGTAGATACTTGTCCACGAGAGCTTGCAGCTGCTCCAGAATCTTGTCAATAGGGCTCGGATCAGCTGCAAAGTGTGATATTGGGTATGCGTTTACTGTGTTGGAAGTGTTGTCTTTGTCCTTCGACAAACCGCCAACATTATGGGCTCTCCTAAATCCTGCCACCAGCTTTCCTCTGTTGCGTAACGTGGTGTATGGACTGTACACGATGTTCCTCCATCACACTCGTAGCATTGCAAGCAATGTACTTTCCCGGACAAAACGCTCACGATCCTGCAATATCGTAAATCACACTGTAGCACAAAAGCCTATCTGTCATGATTTCTGCAGTTCAAGATTTGGAGACCCATGAGGCCAGTCGTGGCATGTAAATGTCAAGTGTAATGACGTCTGTTCTTGCGTATCTGGGTATCAAGTGATAGTGCCTATTCATGATTAGAATGTGGTGACCATACTGGTGACAGTCTACTCACCTGTGGAAAGAATAGGAGCTCCGCAGTCCTTCAGAATATTCAGCACGTCCGTCAGGATCTTCTCTAGCGCGGTGTCGATGTCGGTGTGTCCGTGTTCGGCCGACTCGATGTCCTTGATGAGCGTGTCAATGTCAGCCTCAGCAGCCTTAATCTGGTCATCAGTCAGACCCAACACCGGCCCCAGAGACTCGAGCAGCTTGTCCAGAAGACCCTCCAGCTTTGTCAACAGACCGTCCAGACCGGTCGGTGTGTCGTCAGCTGTGGACAGAGAGGTGCGGATGTCATCATTGTATCATGCATTGGAGAAGCGATTTGTTTGAAATGATAATATGTGTTCAAAATGCTATAAGCTGAGTCGTGAACTCGCAAAGTGTGTTTGGAAAACAGACGGTTCACTTTGAATCATGAGTTTCCAATCTAGCTATGCCGCAATGTAGTCGTCAAGCCCGATGGGCGAATATCCATATTCGTAGCAGCTGTGCCCAAGCGCATTTAATACTCACTGGGGTTGGTGTGGTCTATGCCCAGGGCCCTCAGGATCTCGATGATGTCGGTAACCATGCTCTCGATTCCAGTGGAGATGTCAACGGTGCCGTGCTCCAGAGCCTCGACGTCGGCTACAAACTTGTCAAAGTTGGAGACGACCGCATCGACCTGTTCCTGGGTCAGACCGATGATCGGTCCGAGGATCGGTAGATACTTGTCCACGAGAGCTTGCAGCTGCTCCAGAATCTTGTCAATAGGGCTCGGATCAGCTGCAAAGTGTGATATTGGGTATGCGTTTACTGTGTTGGAAGTGTTGTCTTTGTCCTTCGACAAACCGCCAACATTATGGGCTCTCCTAAATCCTGCCACCAGCTTTCCTCTGTTGCGTAACGTGGTGTATGGACTGTACACGATGTTCCTCCATCACACTCGTAGCATTGCAAGCAATGTACTTTCCCGGACAAAACGCTCACGATCCTGCAATATCGTAAATCACACTGTAGCACAAAAGCCTATCTGTCATGATTCCTGCAGTTCAAGATTTGGAGACCCATGAGGCCAGTCGTGGCATGTAAATGTCAAGTGTAATGACGTCTGTTCTTGCGTATCTGGGGTATCAAGCGATAGTGCCTATTCATGATTAGAATGTGGTGACCATACTGGTGACAGTTTACTCACCTGTGGAAAGAATAGGAGCTCCGCAGTCCTTCAGAATATTCAGCACGTCCGTCAGGATCTTCTCTAGCGCGGTGTCGATGTCGGTGTGTCCGTGTTCGGCCGACTCGATGTCCTTGATGAGCGTGTCAATGTCAGCCTCAGCAGCCTTAATCTGGTCATCAGTCAGACCCAACACCGGCCCCAGAGACTCGAGCAGCTTGTCCAGAAGACCCTCCAGCTTTGTCAACAGACCGTCCAGACCGGTCGGTGTGTCGTCAGCTGTGGACAGAGAGGTGCGGATGTCATCATTGTATCATGCATTGGAGAAGCGATTTGTTTGAAATGATAATATGTGTTTAAAATGCTATAAGCTGAGTCGTGAACTCGCAAAGTGTGTTTGGAAAACAGACGGTTCACTTTGAATCATGAGTTTCCAGTCCAGCTATGCCTCAACGTAGTCGTCAAGCCCGATGGGCGAATATCCATATTCGTAGCAGCTGTGCCTAAAGCGCATTTAATACTCACTGGGTTGGTGTGGTCTATACCGAGGGCCCTCAGGATCTCGATGATGTCGGTAACCATGCTCTCGATTCCAGTGGAGATGTCAAATGGTGCCGTGCTCCAGAGCCTCGACGTCGGCTACAAACTTGTCAAAGTTGGAGACGACCGCATCGACCTGTTCCTGGGTCAGACCGATGATCGGTCCGAGGATCGGTAGATACTTGTCCACGAGAGCTTGCAGCTGCTCCAGAATCTTGTCAATGGGGCTCGGGTCGGCTGCGGAAGATGGTAATGGGCGTGAATGGACTGTGTAAAGAAATCATTGATGCATATACAAGAGCATATGTTTGCAGCACGACATCGGTTCTGCCGTGTCATGTTACCGCTTTGCAAACGCCGCTAAGTTGGGCTCTCCAAAATTTCCCACTAGCATCCAATTGTTTTACGATGTTGTACGTAAACGGTATGGCTTTTTTGCGCACCTAGCGTTGTATAGAATGCAATCCATGAGAAAGGCACCCCACTAGACTCAAGCACCCCGCATAGATCCTCACCGTTGCACTTGCTGATTGATGATGTCAAATTTATAACAACTCGAAAAATGGGCACTCTGCCATATTTTAGCTTACTGTTAATAGAGCCTGTTGAGTGATTTGTTGTGCGTACGTCCATGCCTCGACCATATGGTACGAACAGTATTACATTAATATGTGGGCCAAGGAGCGATTTAATGGGTTGTAAAGGAGTTTGTATTGATCACAAAACCACACTTTTCGTGTCTGTTTTTCAAACAATATTGCACCTACATGACTAGTTTGTGATATCCGTACTGGTGACAGTGTACGCACCCCTGGAAAGGATGGGAGCTCCGCAGTCCTTCAGAATGTTGAGCACGTCCGTCAGGATCTTCTCCAGCGCGGTGTCGATGTCGGTGTGTCCGTGCTCGGCCGACTCGATGTCCTTGATGAGCATGTCAATGTCAGCCTCAGCAGCCTTGATCTGGTCATCAGTCAGACCCAGCACCGGTCCCAAGGACTCGAGCCCCTTGTCCAGTAGGCTTTCCAGCTGAGTCAGCAGGCCGTCCAGACCGGTCGGCGTGTCGTCAGCTGCGGACAGAAAACATGCAGCTGATGTATATGGTTGGCTAGGAGCTTGGAGCTATTGGCTAGGTTGGCTAGGAGCTATCATATGGTTGGCTAGGAGCTTGGAACTATTTGCTGGACTCTACATTTGCTGTGCGTAAAAAAACTGTATAAAAAGTACAGTGTGCACTAACGACCATGACTTACGAATCTTTTCGTCGTTTGATGTCTCCGTCGAACCTGATGTGCGTCAATGTACATTTCAAGAAGTTGTGACCGAATACTTACTGGGGTTGGTGTGGTCTATGCCCAGAGCCCTCAGGATCTCAATGATGTCGGTAACCATGCTCTCGATTCCGGTGGAGATGTCAACGGTGCCGTGCTCCAGAGCCTCGACGTCGGCTACAAACTTGTCAAAGTTGGAGACGACCGCATCAACCTGTTCCTGGGTCAGACCGATGATCGGTCCCAGGATCGGCAGATACTTGTCTACGATGGCCCTCAGCTCCTCCAGGATTTTATCCACGGGGGTCGGGTCGGCTGCAAGAATGATTGTTGTCAACGCGCAGATGGTCGGACCGGCGCTTCGTCGGCCCCGTTGGGTATGGGAAAATGAGCTGGTTATTGAAATATGGTCCCCTGCCCACCGCTTCTTGACGTGTTTGTGCATAAAAAGTTTGCCTACATGCGCTCGGGTGGGGCGTCAAAATGACCCCCTGCCCGAAGGTTTTTCCAAAATGGTTTTCGAAAGGCGCGACGTAGCCTCGCCATTTTGGCACAGCTGTAGAGAATTGAACAGCGGATCGTTCGATAGAATATTAGATGTACCATGTAAGGTCGCTGACCTATGGCGGGTCAAAGTCAGGCTATGGTTTCAGCGAAGGCAATTTCTAAAAAGTCGTTCAGTCTGATGCAACAACGGGGCGTTTTGACGAAGCCATGCATCTCTGAGATGCTTTCTTAGCCAATACAAGTATTGAATGAGCAAATAACGTTGATCTCAGGGTCAGGTATGAAGGCCAAACCAAGGTCAAAACCAATCTGTTTTATTACTCCAGGGCTTGCTGTATAGGAAAAATTTATGGTGCTTATTTAGAATTTATTGGTAGCAGGAACCGCATTATACATCTTCTATTGACTTGTAAGAGGTCGTAATAGATTAATGACCTTAGATGACCCAGGTCGACATTTTTTAGGAGCATGCTGCCTAGCGTAATTTGTCTTGCTTATTCAAATGCAAAACTCAGAGCAGCCTGGCATGATTTTGTCACTTTGACCTTAAAAAAGGCAAGTAAGGTCCCTGACCTTAAATGAGCTTGTGATCTTTCGCTTAGAAACAGTTATCTAGGTTCCGGAGGCACTTTGGAGGCCAAGCTAGAATTTGACCTTGTTTAACCTTATTTTACCCGAAGGTTATGACTTAGGATTCTCAAACTTTGATCGAAGTGAGTTCACGTAAAGGTCAACACACCCTGCAAATTTGGCGTCTCTAGCTTTCTTAGTTCTTGAGATCTTAGGCGGGACAAATTGACCCCCACCCGAGAGAAGGGTATCTAGCCGGCCACCCGGGCGCGTGTTGGTAGAAACTTTAGTAGTGACTTATATCGCTGTAACGTGATGTAACATGTTGGTAAAGTTGTGTGATGTAACTGTATCAGCCCTCATGGTTACAACTGGATGTGAGAAGGTTTCCTGTTGTTGATCATTACCACTGTGTGGCAGGATGCTTCCAATACGTAGCAAAGCTAGCGTTTAGATTTCGTGCATACTGACAGAGCTAATACATTGCCGGGCCACGCGCCGCACTTGTCTCTACGAGACTAGTGGTTGGCTCTTCTTACCGTGTGATACACTGCGTAAATTGGGAAGTTTGATAAAAGCTCGTGATGTCAGCAGCGTCAGACATAGTCTGATAAACTAGCAAGGCGAGTGGCTCTATCCTCCGTGACGTCCTTGCTCTGTACTCACAGGTGGTTTCTATACAAGAAATGTTACCACGTTTTAAGCACCTGCTGACTACAAAGTCAAACTCACATTGACCCTGTCCATGTGCATCACAGGTGCAAGACATCAGTTCTGTGGTTCCGGCACGGAACAGTAACATTTGTAATAAAGGGTGTCTGGGCTGCGATTGCAAGGTGGTTCACCCTGCTTGGAAATGCTAGTGTGAAACAAAATCGTTGCAGCCGGTATTACGGTTGGTACCAGCCCTTCCATCCCGGTCTATGCCAGTGCTCTTGCATCTTTTTGCTCCCCGCATGCAATCGGTACTGGTTGGAAATGAAAAAAGGACATGTCCACCGCGCGTTAATATCAATTCTGAAACCGCCTCAACTAGCCGGAAACGGCTCAGCGTACACCAAAACGTAGCCTCTTCCGAGGAATAGCGGCCCCTCGGCCTTCCGGAATCCGATGTACGTACTGGAGTCGCTGGACGCTAGGTGGTCGGTCGGTATGCCAAAGTCGCCCAAGATCTTGAGGATGTCGAGCAGGATGGCCTCCAGACCTCCGTCCACGTCAATCTGGCCGTCGCCCAGGGCACGGATGTCAGCCATCAGCACGTGAAGGTCGGCCTCCACCTGCTTGGTCTGGTCGTAGTCGAGCCCCATGAAGACGCCGACGATGTCGAGCACGGCGTTGAGCGCTTCCTCCAGCCAAAAGAGCACCTCGTCGAGTGTGGTCGGAGCGTCCGTGGCTGCCGTCAGAACCCAGGTTTAGCAACCAGGGCCATCCCATCTAGCATACGTGTCTGTGTCTGCATCACGCGGAAGAACGGGCCGGTCCGACCGAAACATTTCCGTTGAAGGGGCTTTCGCCCTGGCAGATGCCTTTCAGGCACGCTCTGAGACAGGATCCTTGATGTTTGGGAGCTTCCGACTTTGTCTGCGAATAGCCTGCTCCGAACGCTACCGCCGGACATTGAATTGGACTCTAGCCACTTATTTATGACCTACCCAGGCCAGCTGCATCCTTCGTCACATGCATCCTTTTACGGTAAACTCACAGGGAACTGTGGCATCCACTCCGAAGGCCTCTAGAACATGTAGGATGTCGGTGCAGATGTCGATGACGCCGTCGGCGATCTCAATTGTGCCGTGCTCCATGCCCTCGATGTCGGCGACGAACTTGTCGAAGTTGGTTATGATGGATTCGTACTCTTCTTTGGTGATGCCGATCGCCGGGCCGATAATTGGCATGTAGGTGTCCACAACGTGCTTCAGCTCCTCCAAGATCAAGTCGATGACCGACGGAGCCGCTGATGACATGCCGTTGCCGCTCAGTAATAAATTCATGCACCAAACAGATGATGATGATAGCATACGTTTTGGCAATTCCCTTGTGCACGTAGACCATCTCTGGTAGAGTATTCTTTATACGCTTGGTTAACCAAATGTTCAGTTGGTCTGGTTGCTGTAAACGATTTGGTGGTAATGCGGTGGGACCCTTAGCCCTTTGTGCACGAAACAAAAGCAAAAGTTTTAAAATTGTGCTACGCTACCAGACGGTAATACTGTAAGTATTTCAACTGACAGCTGTGTTCAGTCGCAGCCCTGCGATCATGCCCGTTTCCAAGGCTGTGTCTCGGTTACCTTCTACTAACAGCTCTCCTGTGATTATTGTCCATCCACTGCCGCTGTGGTGTTTTATCTCATAAACGAAATGGCCAGCTACCAGCTAAAGCCACGTCGACATGCAAAGTGGCGTTACCTGCGAATATGGCACGCTCACTCATTCGATACCAGACTTGAATAATGCACCAACAAAGTATGGTACTACCACATACTCTCCCTGCGTACTGGTAAGTACCTCAGCATTCCACTTACTGGTGCCCTGAACGTCGAAACTAAGGCTGGTCTGGATGCCGAATTCGTGCAGGATCTTGACGAGGTCCATCAGCACGGTCTCCAGACCGCCGTCCACGTCGACGTCGCCGTGCTCGATGGCCTCGATGTCCTTGATAAGGGTGTCGATGGTCTGCCTCGGCGGCCTTGATCTGGTCGTCGGTCAGGCCCAGGATCGGGCCCAAAAGCCCGAGCACGGTATCCAGTGCAGATTCCAGCTGGGCCAACAAACCGTCGAGCGCGGTCGGCGTATCGTCAGCTGGAGACGAGTGGGGCGTGTGAGTGAACGTGACGCAGCGACACAGCGGTAGGATAGAGGAGAGTCTGCCTCCCGTTTGTTTACTCAGCCAAGCTTGCAAAACTGACATGTGTGATGTGTTAGAAACCAGTTATAATTTATGGTCGTGTTATCGAATGCATGCGTTGAACATGCATTCCCGGGCAAATCTGGGCAAGGTACCTTAATCTGCCCACATGTAGAGCAGGTCTGGGTTATGAAAATCAGGAACATTGGCTGTCTCCAAAGCTATGGACAGCTAGTGCCGCCTTCCAATACTCGCGCATAAGAATGCCACCGTGAAGCCAACTGCATTGTCCGAGGCAAGAAATACTTAAAGTGGACTGTCACTTAACAAACCACGTGGGTTACGCCTCCGCTCAGGTTGCGATACCGACCGTACTCACTAGGCGCATTGTAGTCAATACCAAGGATCTTCAGAATCTCGAGGATGTCAGTGATCATAGCTTCGAGGCCGTCGGTTGTTGGCACCTGGCCGTGCTCCAGCGCCTCCACGTCCGCCACGAACTTGTCGAACTGCTTGCGCGCCTCCAGAGCCTGCTTCTCCGTCAGGCCTATGATTGGCCCAAGGATGGGCAAGTACTTGTCCACCAACGACTGCAGCTCCTCCAGGATCTTGTCCAGAAAAGACATGGGCGCTGTAGAGTGGAGGATGCAAGTGAGGAGGGTTGTATGACAGTGGCGTTCTAATGAATTTTGGCCAGGCTGGAAAGGCTCATAAGTTTCTGAATTATTTGTGCCCCGATGAGTAAGGCGTTCCTGTCTCTTACCGTGGCCTAGCAAGTTTGGGCTTGTTTCGTGTTGACAACCTTAGAGGACTATTGGCCAGGGTATTCTCATACTGGCGTTGGTATCCACACATTGAAAGACATATTTCTGAAAGTTGTAGGTTTTTAAGCTGCGTTAATTTCGAAAGCGTTTTCGTCCTTTTCATTGCATGTGGGTGCAATTGGGTGCCATGTATGCAGACTTCTTACCTAAGACATGTGCCCCTCACATGAGCTTCCACCCTCACCTCACTCATAGCGACTTTCACCCGCACTTACTGGTGACGTCCAGCTGCTCTCCATCCTGGACTGCGCCCAGCTGGTGCAGCACAACGAGCACTTCGGAGAGCACGGCGTGCAGGCCGGCCTCGACATCAGTGGTGCCTGCGGCAAGAGCGCGCAGTCCCTGCGCCGCCTCGTGAGCGGCGGTCACCAGAGCTTGGGCCGCCTCAGCCGACCCGTGCTGCTGCAGCAGGGTGTGTGCTTGCCACTCGGCCGCTGCTATGAGGCCGTGCAGGCGGCTGACGGCTGTGGTCAGCGGGGTAGGGTTAGGGAGGACAGTGTCAGGGACATGGAGCTGGCGCGGACGCGGTCAGCGGGGCAGGGTTAGGGAGGACAGTGTCAGGGACATGGAGCTGGCGCGGACGCGGTCAGCGGGGCAGGGTTAGGGGGACAGTGTCAGGGACATGGAGCTGGCGCGGACGCGGTCAGCGGGGCAGGGTTAGGGGGACAGTGTCAGGGACATGGAGCTGGCGCGGACGCGGTCAGCGGGGCAGGGTTAGGGGACAGTGTCAGGGACATGGAGCTGGCGCGACGCGGTCAGCGGGGCAGGGTTAGGGGGACAGTGTCAGGGACATGGAGCTGGCGCGGACGCGGTCAGCGGGGCAGGGTTAGGGGACAGTGTCAGGGACATGGAGCTGGCGCGGACGCGGTCAGCGGGGCAGGGTTAGGGGGGACAGTGTCAGGACGGAGCTGGCGCGGACGCGGTCGCGGGGCAGGGTTAGGGGGGACAGTGTCAGGGACATGGAGCTGGCGCGGACGCGGTCAGCGGGGCAGGGTTAGGGGGACAGTGTCAGGGACATGGAGCTGGCGCGGACGCGGTCAGCGGGGCAGGGTTAGGGGGGACAGTGTCAGGGACATGGAGCTGGCGCGGACGCGGGTCAGCGGGGCAGGGTTAGGGGGGACCAGTGTCAGGGACATGGAGGCTGGCGCGGACGCGGTCAGCGGGGCAGGGTTAGGGGGGACAGTGTCAGGGACATGGAGCTGGCGCGGACGCGGTCAGCGGGGCAGGGTTAGGGGGGACAGTGTCAGGGACATGGAGCTGGCGCGGACGCGGGTCAGCGGGGCAGGGTTAGGGGGGACAGTGTCAGGGACATGAAGCTGGCGCGGACGCGGTCAGCGGGGCAGGGTTAGGGGGGGACAGTGTCAGGGACATGGAGCTGGCGCGGACGCGGGTCAGCGAGGCAGGGTTAGGGGGGACAGTGCCAGGTGTGTAGAACGGATCAAACCCCGTTTGGATACCTCCGAGAGGCAGTATTGGGGGCAAAACGTATGATGAAATGCAAATGCAAACTGCCTTTTAAAGCTGCCTGTGACGCTGCAGTCTGCAGTATCGCGATTGTTGTTACCAACGAAATCTAGTCCCAGGTTTGGGTGGCAGGCTGTCATGATGTTACACAGATAAACAGTGGCTACACTTTGTGTCTACCGTGAATGGGGAGATCTTGGATATTGGACTGTTATGCCGTGGAATCCAAAAACCATGGGAGAGCAGTCTCCTCTTCAGTCTCCTTGTTGACCGTTGATTATTAAAAAAGGCCCTTATTGGAAGTATTTGAATGGCATCACCCCACGTGGCGAAATTATGAACCGAACCATATTCGCAGGTGCCGTTTACCGACGGCATCCGTTTCACTCACTTTGGTCCTGCTTCTGGGTCTTCAGGCTCCGCATGCGTGACTCGATCAGGCGGACCGTGTCAAGCACTCCTCGCACATTCTTTTCGGCGTCGAGGGTCTGGCGGCTCGGGTACGGAACTGAAACTCAAAACCGACGAAGTCCAGTCCCAGTTCCGATTTAGGCTTGGAGATGTTTGGTTACGAATATCTCCACTTCATTTCCCAAGTTTTAATTGTTGAAATCCAACGGGTTCCCAGATGTTTTCAGCTGCCTATGTTTTCACTTCACTGCAAGCACACTGAAGCTACCCTATCCCTTCCCGCTATGGATTTGAGAGGAAAGTCAGTGTTCCGGCAACATGTGCAGCATTCACCTCCGCGCTCCCCTTACAAAAACCCTGTGTGGGACACTACACGTTATGCTATGTTCAGTGAAATCCTATACACCATTGGTAAATAAGTTCAAGGCATCGAAGAAGCTATAAAACTTTTACGGACGGCATTTTTGGCCGCCACGAACAATCTGGCTTGGGTTAGTTTTCATCAATAATAGCCGACCTCCGTACATTTATTACGAGTACGGTCCATTGCTGGACTCCTAGGGACTTGGTCAGAACAACTATGTATTGCTGGCACGACACGTTGCATGGCAAGGACGGCCATCAGATGCACTGCTGAAGCCGACGAGAGATCGCGTGCCACGTCTTGCTGTGCGTCCTCTTGTTCTCGACACCAGTCACTGCCGCGCTTCACTGGTGCCAACGCAACTTACGCGGCTTTCGTATCGTCGCCGACGACACGAGGACCACAAGGAGGGCTGCCGCGATCAGCCGCATCTTGGCTCCGCTGGTGGGTCAGAGTGGCAGAGTCGACCCCGACGCTGCTTATATGTGGGGACGCTCACAGGTGGGCGCGTCCCACACGATGACCCTTATCAGTGTTGCAACTCCTGCCAAAGGGCTCAGCTGTGCTCTCACGGCGCGACATGGTCTGGCTGACTCAACAGCGATATGACTTCAATATGCAGTTGCCTTTGCTCGTGGTTTTCCCTTGAAAGATCCATGGGCCTGCTGAGCTCCTTTCGTTGTTAGTGATTTGCTATCTGACGTATCGCAAATACTGACGTTAATTTTTGCGATGGCTGTTTCCCCAATCGTGAAGAGATACGTGTCGTGGTAACGAATGCCTTTGTACACCCTGAATATATGCATTCTGTCAGTGATTCCCGAGATGGATTCCCACTGCCTTGGTTGCTGAGATAAGCTTCCTATAAGAAATGAGGACCTTGTGTTCTTAGTTGTTCTGTGTGAAGGCCTGGCATGCTGAAAGTTTCTGATGCTCCTAAATGTAGGGGACTCCATTTAAAAGAGGATGTCGAACAGTCCTTGTGATATCTGAAGGAAATGCTCAATGTTTCGCTCCCTCGCGATCACGACTGCATCCTTACCATAGGCGCTGCTGAAAATGCTTGGAAGTTTCACGTGTTATCTCAGTGATCCCTTGGTATATTTGAAATCAGCTGCGTTCAGCATAGAACTAATTATTGCTGGGATGGCTAGGGCTTGTGGTAGTCTTGTCCAATTCTGAGGCTAAAATTGCGCAATTAGCCCCCGTTGACAATAGATGGAGAACTATTGAAAATATTCCTTGAACCATGCGCATAAGATTGATGTGACTGCAAACAGATGCGCTCAACGTTGCAAAGTAGTTTTTGCACTGTTTAAACGCTGCATTGAATGCGCATGCCATGTGGAAGAGCTATCAAATTCCAGCAACGGTACAGCCCGCCGAAAAAGAACAAACCATATTCTGTAAGCAGGTAAATGACAACTGGTGATTCTACAAGTGTACAATTCAAATGGCGTCTGGAGAACAACCAACAGCAGAAATATTTTCCCAAACACAAAGTGCCAGAGTAGGAACTGTCGACCTCCTCACCTCGCCGGGCATCACACTTCCCAATGCTCGCGAGAAAGAGAGAGAGAGAGAGAGAGAGAGAGAGAGAGAGAGAGAGGAGAGAGAGAGAGAGAGAGAGAGAGAGAGAGAGAGAGAGAGAGAGAGAGAGAGAGAGAGAGAGAGAGGAGAGGGAGAAAGAGAGAAGGGAGAGAGAGAGGGGGGAGAGCGAGGGAGAGAGAAGGGAGAGAGAGAAAAGAAGAGAGAGAGAGAGAGAGAGAGAGAGGAGAGAGAGAGAGAGAGAGAGAGAGAGAGAGAGAGAGAGAGGGAGAGAGCATGCGAGAGAAAGGGAGATCAGATGCCAGCTAGAAGGCGATCAAAGAAACAAATCAGCCTAGACCAAGACAGCCACTGTTAACCCCAAAAATGTCATTTTCATATTCAAGGATTTGGCTCAGCTTTTCAGTTGTATGGATTTGTTTACCTAAATCGAACGCTAGGCAGTAAACTCCGCGTAGGTCATCAAATTCCAGGTAGGATCTACATTTCAGGTAGATCACATAATTTGTGTGGGGAAATTTAGCGTGCTCGGCACGATCTTCCGTACTCTATAACATCAACAGACCTTTAAAACCCTGCCACCACCTGCCAACATCATCCGAGTCAGCGGAAGATGGAGAACGCTTAAAGCGACTCGAGCCCATCCAGCGTCGGGTGGGTAAATGTGAGCACAGAGGCTCTAACCGCATGAGCCACCAAGCACCGCATGAGCCACCACCATTTTTAAAATGATAACTCATTTTTTCAGTTGTGTTGCTCCCCACGATATTCTTTGTCTGCCCGTATTTGTTGGGGAAATGCAGGTTGTGCCTTCTTGTGAACTTCGATTTACGTAAATAGTAGAAGTGCCGCGATGAAAAGACGTAGTTCACCACAGCTACTGCGGGACGGGCAAATGAACAGACGCTTCGAACTGGTCACCTTAGGTCCTGCCACACGGTGTACTGACGTTCCTGGTGGCACCGCTACTGCGGGACGGGCAAACGAACAGATGCTCCGAACTGGTCACCTTAGGTCCTGCCACATGGTGTACCGACGTTCCTGGTGGCACCGCTACTGCGGAGCGGGCGAATGAACAGACGCTCCGAACTGGTCACCTTAGGTCCTGCCACATGGTGTACTGACGTTCCTGGTGGCACCGCTCTTGCGCAGTTACCACGACTGAGGCCAGGCGATCGGCGGCGGTAGGCGGTGGCGGCGGCGGTCGCAAAAATTGCCCAAATATCCCAATACCAAAATATCCAAAATATCCCACAGGTGAGATGAGCATTGCGTTCCTCGCGGGCGTTGTAATGTCATACCATGGTGAGGTGATTTCGCACGTTTTGTTGTGCTTATGCAGGATAAATGTGTGAAGGTAGATGTGCAGGGATGCTTCTGCACAAGATCGTGGTAATGATGACTAGATATTGTTATGTCGGTTGTGTGCTGCAAAACACGCTTCAGTAATCAACTACCAGAACAACAGCATTAATTTCCTTTCTAGCAGTATAGATGGCGCCCAGCGCTGGGAATTGAATATTCATGTGCACACGCAGTTGGCATACAGGTACACCGCGCCTAAATCAAGAAAATAGGGCTGCGATTGACTTAAAGTGACTAGAAACCCGCAATAAGCGAGATTCGCCCTCAGATGCTTTCGGGTGCCGAATGCCCAATTTAGGAAGAAAAACGCCTTCGCTTTCATGTAAACAGACAAATGAGCCCATACCAGGGAGGTAGGGCAGCGCAGCGGCCCTACTTAAAGGACCATTCGAGTTTGATCAGTCCTGAGGACCCTGCGTGTCCAGTATCGGGCATGACTCGCCATGCATATGTTATTATAGTGGGAGGAAAACGAACATGGAAAATCATAGAAGATAGGATGTCTTGTAACCTCTGCCCAGGAATATCTTATGAACGAGAAATAAAGCGTAGCATTCGCGACCGGTTCAATTAACACCCTGGAAACGCAAGTGTACGTCAAGATTACACACCACTAGAGAAAAACATAGTATAATGACACGCAGCAGTAGAGAATAGCACAAGAAGAACAAACCATAAAACTGACATTCTAGCGACAGCTTAAGTCAGTACGAACTTCAAGACATTTGTAATTGCTCTCCGGGGCTCAACATGCAAATGCTATCTTGTAAATTGATTTGAGTAGGACTGTTTACATAATGGCGGTTCATAAATATCCTTTATATAATATATGATACGTGCATAATATATATACATATATATAATGTTATATACCTAATGCATATATATATATATAAAACATAAATTAAAAAATTTTAGTTCTTATAATGAATTGCGACGACCTTTGACCATTTTTTTTTTTGCATCTGTGGCTTGACATGGGCTACCAAAACCTTTCGGCGTAGCCAGCCATGTTTCGGGATCTCTTAGCAGCACCATGTATTGGATACTGATATGTCAGAGCCTGAACACTCGGAACGTTTGTCAGTTTATCGCAAGCATAGTTCGTTGCGCTTGAGGGGCCTGATGTTTATAACTAATGCTTTGTAAGGTTAATTGAAACCTGTCAAATTAGTCGTTTGTGTTTCATGCAACCCTTAGGGTAGCACGATATGCAAGGTTTTAGGACGTGGGAGCTTAAATGATGTGTTACTGTGTGATGAGTTTGGCGGCAGCGTGCGCGAAATTCAGTTCATTCTTCGAATTCCTATGTACTAATGTTTAAATGTTATTTTTGCCTAACGCTTACTCCTGACCATGGGCACAACTATGGAATGTGGAGTATTGACAGTATAACTAATGTTTCCTTAATGGAGTCGTTGAATAACTTCCATGTATATATATATATATATATATATATATATATATATATATATATATACACACATACATATATATATATATATATATATATATATACATATACATGTATATACGTATATGTGTACATATATATATATATATATATATATATATATATATATATATATATATATACATGGAAGTTATTCAACGACTCCATTGAGGAAACAGTTATACTGTCAATACTCCACAATATATATATATATATATATATATATGTATATATATATATATGTATATATATATATATATATATATATATATATATATATATATATATGTATGTATGTATGTATATATACAATTATTTATTAGAGATTAGAAAGCTCTTGATGCGGGGATCAATAATAAGAAGCGCTCCTACATTCTTGAGAGGTTTTAAAGGTAGCCTTGCCCATGTTGCATAACCAGTTGGCATCAGATAATGGGTATAACGTGCAATGTGTAGATCAGCTTTATACTTGAAGCTGAAACTCCGAGATAAAGGCTAGAATCCTCTGCAGACGCGGCGACGGAGTGATCTTGAGGCACGAATTACGTGATATTTTTGTGAGTTTGTGTTCATCTCAACATGGAATACATACTCATAAAGCCATTTTCTAAGGTGTCACAAAGCGTATTAGGTTTGTGTTCGGTAAACGCAATGGTGCAAATCGTAGCAGGTTGAGGTCTGCGTGTTGTGGGGGCTACTGTTCACTGGGTTACACAAACGTTGGGTGCCAATCTATGACAAAGGAATGTGCAGAGAAGACGTACTATTTTTACGGCTCGTTTCATTGAAGGTCGAGGAAGTATATGCGGTGTGCTTAACTGGCAACAAAGAGATGATTGTGGTGGAAAGGCTGCATGATATATGTATAGGGTTGTACATAAATATTTCCTTATACTGCGCAGCTCCGTTTCAGTTGCTCGCAGAGAGAACAGATGGTCACCCGCAGGGACACCGGCTTCCGTCGGTGTAGGGGACTAGCGCCCCCTCGGGTCCCAGCTCCGGTAACGGGTGGACAGCGCAAGCTGGTTCTCTCAGGGCGTAGCGACCCTGCCGGTACGTGAGCTCCTGCTCCTTGT